TTAAGAGGATGGGGTCATAAAGGTACCTGAAAGAAGGTTATAGTCTGTGGAATAGCCAGGTATTGAGATTTGGTGTGTGTATTAAATTACCGGTAATTAGATTTAGGATTTGTGTGATAAGTGTGGTTGCTATCTCTGGTAGAAACTGAATTGTTGGTTAGCAAAATAGAGCAGTGTGATATTAGACGTAGATTCAATATTAGACATAGATTCAGTTAGGCATGCTACATTACAAAATAGAGCCGCAATAGATTTTCTGTTACTGGCCCAAGGGCATAGACGTGAGGATTTTGAGGGAATGTGTTGTATGAATTTATCAGATCATTCTGAATCAATACACAAAAGTATCCAGCTTTTGAAAGATGGACTGAAAGAATTACAAGTAGATGATGGATGGGATTGGTTGGCTAACTTGTTTAAAGGTTGGGGATTATCAGGATGGATGTTATCTTTATTGAAAACAGGATTATTGATTTTATTTGTTGTTGTAGTTGTGTTACTGATGTTGCCATGTGTCATGTCTCTGCTGCAAAGGGCCCTGCAGCGAGCATCAAAAAAGGTGATTTTTGTAGCACAAATACGAAAAGGGGGAATTGTTGGAGGTTTTATGAATGAAAATGGATACGATTATAAAGAATTGTGTAATTTAGAATGACCACCTTAAGAACCGTGTAATTTAGAATGACCACCTTAAAATGACGTCGGGGATAAAGAATGAGGAAGTACGGCGATGCGGCAAGAGAACGACCCGGAACTATACGAAGCGCAAGAGGATGTGGGCGGTGATGCGTGTGTAAGATAGTAACCAATCATGTATTAGCTTAGACAGTATGGACACGTATATGTAACCAATAGAAATGCTTATGTAGGATGACTAAGGGATTTTGGACTATAAAAGCGCAGCTTCTGATGAAATACAAGTCTTCGATTTATAACTCCTATAGAGTCGTCTCGGAGTCCTGTGGTCGTCTTGCACCGAGGAGAACGTCTACAGAGAGAGTTTGTGTCTCGGAGTCAAGACAGAGGGAGGATGACTACCCAATCTATGAAGAGGCTGCTTTGCTGAAATTGCTCAGTGGACTGAAAAGGGATATGGCTGGTTCACATGTTTCACTTCAGAGGTCAGAACTCCATCCTAGCACATCAGACACCTGTAGTCAAAAGCACTGTGAGTGGGAATCAACAATCCTCAGTCCAACACCAAATTACTGACAATACTAATTCATCTCTACCAACAGCTTCCCACATGGAGAAAGGAGTCTACAGCCTGGCCAGGCTGCCCGCTTGCCTGGAGCACAGCCTCCCATTGACTCTAGCAAGCTCCACAGCCTGTGTGAAAACTACTCCTTGACAAAGCATCCCCTGCAGCCGTACGGTTTTCCTGTGAGCCAACCTCATCCTTGTAAAGTCACTGGTTTCACATATGAGTAAAGACTGGAAGACATATCTGAAATATGGATTCATTGCTTAAATTAAGGTGTTTCTGAAACCAGGAGCCTACTTACGTTGACTTGGAAAGGAAATGTGGACTCTTCAGATACATCACTTCTTCTGGAAGCAGCCCCAGAGAGTACTGACAGAGGTGAAAGGCTTTCTGAATTGTAACTGACAAACTCTTCTTACAACGTTTTATGTTTTTTTACAAATTTACAATGGTTTTCAGTGCAAGTAAACTCCAAGATGTTAGGATAACTTTTTTTTTTCCTATCACCAACAAGCCATTCTAAGAACCATCCCAGTTTAGGATTAAGGGATGACTCTCATTCTTTTATAGAAATGTAGGAAAATTCCCATAGGTAAAATACTTTTAGTAACATTATATGAGCCCAGTGTCTTACCTGTAGTATCTGGTTTGAATGTAGCTAGGACACACAGCTTCAGACACATGCCTGGCTAAACCGAAGTCTATGACCTTGACCCTATATGGCTGTCGGGCTGGGTCTACCAACATGATGTTCTCCGGTTTGAGATCAGCGTGAATGAGTCCCAAACTTTTCAGCTTCATTAGGGCAGTTGCCACCTGCTGGAGAATTGGTCAAATGTACTTAAGGGGCAACGGACTGAACTTGTTTTGCTTCATGAAATCACAGAGGCTCTGCTCCAACGCTTCAAAGACCAAGCACATGTGATTCTTGTGCTGGAAGCACTCGTACACACGGACAAAGTTGTAGTCATCCGGACTTTCTCTGCTCAGACGAGCCAGGATGCTCGCTTCAATCTGGCCTTGCCGCGCACAGACAGGATGGCTCTTTAGGATCTTGATGGCCACAATGTCATTAGTGCCACGTTTCCAGCACCTCACTACTTGTCCGAAGGTTCCACGGCCAAGAAACTCTAACACTTGGTACGTGTTGGTCATGGAACAGAGCACCTCATGTTGCACCAGCTGGTAATCCCCTTCACTGTTGGAGCCACTGTTTTTGGCAGTGGCTACAGTGGCTCCACTGGCATTGTTCTCAATCTCTGGTAGATGCTCTTCGCTGATCTGCACGCTGCTTGTCTTCTTGATCTCCTCACTCTTGCGCTTAAGTCCACATTTTTGGTAGGTCACATCCCATTTAGGACTCGGCTCCACTTTCCGTTTCTTCACGCTACAGAAGGCACTTGACTGAAGGCTGTGAGGAGAGAAAACTTGCACATGCGAGGCCATACCTGCAATACAACATCAGAGTGAAACCCCAGTGTCAAGATGCCTTCCCCAGCTCTTTTCATTTGTTCAGTGGCAGAAAGGGAAAATGGCACATCAACTTCAGATACAGCACACACACACACACACACGGAAATCAGATTCTTCCAGAAATATGTATTCAACACAAATAAAATATTATTTTTACCGTGGAAAGCACACGGCCTGTGTTCAGCATATAAATGATACACACAAGACACTCCTGAAATAAATATCTTCCACTTCTCCCCAGAGAGGCACAAGCCTGCGAACTCATATACACGCCCAGGTTAAGATGGCAATGAAAAGGGGATCTGCCAGGTATGGCTAATGTATTGCACCCTCAAAATAGCCGTGTCTCAAGCACAGCGCTCTTCTTCACGCTGGCCTCTGTGTGGCCCCTTTTGAGGCATTGTCCCCAGTACCACTGCAGTCTTGGAACCTCCTTAAAATTTATGACCCTGGAGGCTACACAAATTCCTCACTTGTGCTAGTGAATGTTTGGAGACAACCGCAAAGAGGAGTTCAGACCTCGGCAGCCTCAGCTCCTTCCTGTTCCTGGTGAGCAGAAGATGTCGAGGGAGCCTTCGTTCCAAGTGAAAGTCTCCCTGCCTTCCTGCTCTACTTTTCCTGTTCTGCCAGTAAAACTGTCTCGTCCTAATTAGCAGTTTCCTAAATACTTACGTAAAATAAAATACAGAGGATTTGGGCTGCAACAGAAGACAAAGATGCAAGGAGAAAGATGGGGAAGCTGGGCACAGGCCTCTGCCAAAGCAGAAAATTGAGAAAGGCTGATTTGATGACTTCCTAACTACCCCAAAGCCAGGGTTGACTCTATTTCCTCTCTTCTGTAGCAACACCTCCCTTTCAAATAAGAATTAAATCCAAAGACAGGAATTGCAGCGCTCTCATACACTGAGGGCTACGAGGTGTTTTAGGAAATGGAGAGAAGGGATAGTGCAGGATAATCGCCTGACCTGCACTTCAGGTAGTTCAAACAATCCTGTCAATAACCTGTCCTCACGCAGGCACACAAACACACCCCTGCACAAGGAAAAGCCCTTCAGTTCCTCAAGGAAACACAAGTCTTGAGCATGAATTTTTCACCCTCTCTTCCAGGCATTACCCTACTCATCGCTCAGGGCCAAGAAAACAACTCCAAAGTGATGGCCAAACAGTCAGAAACCTTTTTGGCTGTCACCCACGGCCTTTCTTTGCTGTCACCCACAGCGTTTCATTTGCATTTCAAAACAAGACTATAAAACCAGAAATGTATGAGCTAGGGCCACAGCACAGCTCAGGACCAGAACGGGCACGGCAGGACTGAGCCCAAACCAAACACTGCTGGGGAGACACAGGCTTGAGGGTTTGGATGCGGACTCATTTCTCCTCAGAAATCCCCACTCAGTCATCTCTTCAGCTCACAGGCTGCACCTGAGGGGAGAAAGCCTGGAGGAAAGGGGCACGTAACTGTTTCTCTTCATCGTTTCTCCTTTGGGAGTATCGAGTAGTCCACAGGAGACCGGCGCTAGAGGACGCTGCAGCAGGCTCCAAGAGGAGGCTGAACGTTTTTTACGTATCCTTGGAAAGCAGGGGATTCCGTTGAAACGCCAACGGCTGGGCTGCCTGCATTTAAAGTGGTACCGACCCCTTTTACACCAAGTACGCGGTCACGCTCGGGCACACACAGATGCAAGC